TGCTGGTAGCAATGGCTTAGGACCACTGATTTTTAGCAGGTATGCATTCCATCTAGTTCTGAACGCTTGCACGACGGCATTTCAAGATTGTGGTCATTATTCTGTCTTTAAAGAGAAAAATGAAGCATCCAAACACGGTGCCTTATTGCTGTCCTATATACCTGATGCGTAGCCTCAGCAAACTGGTGTCAGGATTATGTGAAGTCACTTTTACAAGGAGATTTAGATTTGAATTGGTCAACAGTCAGAGTTTCGGGGAGAGGTGGATGATGATTCCATGTGACAGCACTACGAGGCTGCATTTAGGAAATAGTTTCTGTTTTCCAGTTATGCTTTTGGAAGAAGGCTTTGCTTTTCTCTCTGCCTTTGTAATTAGAAATTAGGCAAGGAGATGTGGACCCTCCTTTAAACTTAAGATGACAATTTACTAGAATCCTAACCAGCCTTGCTTAGGACAGGATTACTGGTAATGATGACCAGAGCACAGGAAAAAAGCTTAGACTTGCACATGTTCTGAAAGCACGTGCCATTTTGGTGTATGCAAAATATGCCCTCACCTGTAGACTGAGCAAGTCCGATGTGGGAATGCAAATGGAATACTATCATTTTTGATGAGGCACTATTTAGGATAAAAGCAGCATGTTAATCTGTAAGTGCTAGCCAGAATATATAATGCCTCATGTGGTCAAAGCTTGAGTTAAGTGTTCCCATTTACTTAAGATAGGAAAAAAAAAAAAAAGAGAGCACGCTTTTTAATTTCAAGTAATCCAGTTTGTTGCTAAGCTACCACCTATATCTTTCATCTTCATTTAATATCTGTCTTGTGTTTGGTTTAGTTCAATTTTCCCTTTGTTGAGACCTATACAGTTCAAGAAGTAAAAGTACAACCAAGGCTTAAAGGTGGGCTCGATGCCAAAGAAGATACGTGTTTGAATGCTGCTTCTGCAGAAGGAAGTCACCCTTGGAATATAGATGGAGACTTAATGAAAGAAGCATCAGAAGTTCATGTTCGGTAAGGCTAAGTGTTAAAATTATGGACTGTATACCTGTGACAGATTAGTACTGCAATCTTAAATGTATTACATCTGTATATAATACAAATGACACCAAAATAGTGTGTGGTAATTGCTGTAAGAACAGCACCATTGTACAGTGCACAGCCTGGCCCTTTTGCCATTGTTTGGGCCCCTGCCCTGTTGCCTTGTGCCCACCTTTGGAAAGGTTTGGTATGACCCACATGGCTTTGCCTTTCTGGTGCTTCATCAGCTTCCAGCTCCGCTTCTTTCTCCCTGTTACTTCACCCTTTTGTTTCTTAGAGGAGAACAGATGTATTTATATAAAGGTCTGTGACTCCTGGGAGGAGCTTCTTTTGGGATGAGGAGTCCTGCTTGGAAAGCAGTGTGTGTAAGATGTAATAAATACATGTACTTGTTCAATTGTGGGAAACTTGGTGCTGCTTGAGAATCATTTCCATCTCTAGGATATAAAAAAGAAACTGTGAATGCACAGGGAAATAGGAGGGTTATCAGGGAATTAAATGGGCGGTGGCTCATTCTTCTGCAACACACAGAGGACAAGCTGAAAGCAACAGTCTGGTATGTAAAATAAAAGGCAGATCACATTACAGGATATGTCATATATACTTCTGAAGAGGACCATATAGGGGAACTGTCAAAATGTAATTCACCGGATTTTATTCCATAAGCAATTCATACATATTTGTTCCTCCCCCCAAACCTCAAAAAGTGGCACAGCCATTGCAGGAGTTAATGAAATTGATGGTTTGACTTCCTCACTTCACAGGGTGCATCCTCAGCTGATTAATCTCTATGGTGTGAACACTGATGACCTGGAGAGTTCCCAAGCAACGTGCAATTGCATATAGAAGGGACACAGCAAGTTTGGTGTTGAAGAATCCTTTTCTCACCTCTATGCAGAGCCTTCCGAGGTCCCAGTCTTTCACTCACTGAATTCAGTTGTTGTAGCAGAAGCTTAACTGGGTTGTTTGTAATATTTCTGGGTTTAAATTTTTATCAAGTTACATATTTTTATCAGGTTGTATTTAACTGTAAAGAAACTATTAGGCTGATCAAGAAAAAATGAAAACTAATTATACTGATCTCTTAAATTTGGGGTTCAGGAAGTGTCTTTGAGAATAGAAGAAAGTATTTTTTTCCCTTTAAAACTATTCTAGCTTTTTTAATAAATATGAGCTACTTTTAAGTCTGCTGCTGCTTATCCATGTTGTCAGGTAAATCAGTTCAAATAGAGCTGGTGAGTGGAGGTAGGGTACCACCTCATGCTGAAGAATGGTGGCAACATATAATTATTTTTTTTTAAAATCAAGTACTTGAATTTCTAGTCATAAGGTTTAATGTTGCCTCAATGTATTTGATTTCAAATAGTTTCTAGTCAAACTAATACAAAATATGCTGATGTCTTAAACGTCTTTTCTTTGTTGAAATGTATTTTAAGGACTACTCTTTGTACAAAACAAGTATTTAAAAACATTTTATCTATCCTAGAACTGAAATTATATTCTGCATAGTTTTTGTGGTTGCTGAGAATAAAGTTACAATAAATAACTTAAGAGTTGACTTAAATTTTTATAACTTCCTTATAGGAAACATAATTTTTAGGAGTGTTTTTTTTTTCTAACTGATTACATATTTAATACAATTATTTGAGATGACAGCAAATTAAGACTATATTCTCTCGGGAAACTGGCTTTCTCTGAGATGAAGAGTATCAAACCAACAAGTTTCTCTGTTTTCAGGACCACAGGGATAATGAACATTTTCTTGGTCACTTGTCTATGAATCTTTCAGAAGGTGAATGGCGTATAATGGTGTGGAAGCTCCATTGTCTTGTGGCTAGAATGAGTTGCCTTAAGTTCTGTCTTTAGTAAGCAGTCCAATATAATGAGAAATCCAGTTAAGATCTTGTTAAAAATTCCTACCTGTGATAAATACAGATGACAAAGAAGTACTGCACCCAAAATACTGTGGCAGATTATTCGTCTCCTAAGAACAAGCTGTTAGCTGTTACTTGTTGGAAATCTCTTGCATTCTGCAGACAGACCTGGCCAGTAGAAAAGGCCAAAGCCATAGACAATCAAATACCTGCTTCACAGGCAACAGGAATCTTGGAGCTAGTCCTGCTCTTTGTAGTGGAGTTAGTGGCTGCAGAGTAGGACCAGGGTCACAGCATCCTCTGGCCTGGACGGGGCCCGGCAAGGCTCTAGCCCAGTCTCTTGCTCTGAGCAGGTCCAGCTGAGATCAGATCTGGTTGCTCTGGGCTTCATCCAGTCCAGCCTCGAAACCTCCAAGGATGGAGATGGTACAACCCTCCGCACCCCTGTTCTGACACCTGGCTGTCGTCCTAAGGAAAATGTTTTTCCTCATATCCAGTTGGAACCTCTTATTTCATTTTATACCCTTTGTCTGAGTCGCAGTGAGTAGTCTCCAGGTTAAACTACTGTAATTGGTACTGTATCACATCAAATATTTATAATGTTAAGACAAGTCAAACTAAACTTCCTAAAGTTGTCCAAGGAGATTCCAGCTACATTTAGTAGATTTAACTGGTTTTATTACATAACTAACTGAAAATTAAAAAAAAAATAATTGAACTTGCAGAAGAAACAGCATTCATGTGTTTAACTTGTTTAACTTCTTGGGTTTTTTTTTTTGTTTTGTTTTTGTTTTTGTTTTTTTTAATGAAATAAAATCAAGTGATACTTTATAACCTTGCCACCACTGGGACATTGCACATTCATTTTTTGTCAACCTGGTTTACAAAAGCTAACCGAGTTTTGCTTCATATCCTAAGAACAGGCAGCCAATATTTACATGTTAATAACCAAATCTGAATAGGAAAGACATGATTTCCAAGACAACATTATCACATGTACTAACTTATGTAAACTATTTCAAAGATAAATAAAATGCTTTAGTTTCACTTTCTTGCATTGTTTGTACTAAAAAGAACGTTAATGCTTCTTCCAGTATGTGAGGTATATTTTTCACAATATGCTGTAATATCAAACTAATTCCTGTTCAAATATTATTTTGGTTAAAGTGCAAAAATTCACTAAAGCCATTTGGAAGATAAGCATTTGTGTACAATTTCATAGACTTGTAAGAAAATATTTAATTCTTCACATTTTTTTTTTTAAATATACTCACATTCATTTGTCCTTACACTGCAGAACATTTTTAGACAGAAAATTTACTTTAGAGTAATCTACATCTTTGGCATCAAATCAAGTGAAATTAAAAAATGGTCCCCAATACCTTTAGAATCTGTGAACAATGTGGCTTTTATGGCACCAAACTTTATTAGCAAAGGTGCTTGTTTTGAAGGCACTCTGTACTGCTTTTGAGTCTCAGGCTAATTCCTGTATGATGGTGCAGCTTCAACACGTCTGTACGTATACATTCATTTCTCCTTGCAGTTCAGAAACACATCAAAGGCACAGCAAGAAAGGCCATATTGCATATTGCTGTTGCAATACAGTTATGGAAGAAGTTGTACATACATTCTCCAGTTGTACTGGGGAGCAAAGTAACTTTTTTTTTTTCCTTTCCCCTGGATTGTACTATTTCACCAAAGCTAGGTGGCAGTGCAAACTTAGCTAGCTGAAGAAACTTCCTGTAGTAGCAGAGCAGTGGTTTGAACCATGTTTCTATTCAGTCATTTGTCTTTCTGCGGAGTGGCTTCTGAGCATGCCTGTTTGGATCGTATTTTTCTAACAACTTCACAGGAACCCAAGCTAGCTCTCCAAATGACTTCCTTATTAAGTACTTTCAGGTAAAGCATGGCACATCTAAAGTTAAAATTTGGCATTTAGGGTCTGCTGGGTATGTGTTTCTCAGTCATTTTGTTAAGTCTTTTTTTTTTTTTTTTTCTTCCCCCCCTACGTTCTGGCAGAATGCCAGTACTAAATACTACTGTGCTGAGTAATATAGAAAAATATTCAAATAAATAAAAATAAATACTTGCAAGTACCATGTTAAATGGCTACAGATGATGATCTCCAATACATTACTCTTTCCACAGCTGAGAGAGGATTCTGTGCCGCATCTCCAGGCTACCCCACAGAATTCCCTGCTCTGAACCCACCTCTGACCTGCCTGGTTCTGGCTTGCCTGGGTGTCTTAAGTCTCTGCAGTGTTGTGGCTGTGCCTGCGAAGCCAAAGCTTACAAGGTTACCTTCAGAAGCCCAAAAGAGCTTCTGATAGCTGTCTTCTACATCTGTGCGCTCTGCTTACCGTCCCTTCTATTGGTTTAAGCTAACGTGCTTGTAAAACTGCCAAAGCAATGAGGGAAGATTTCTTCTTGAATGTCTAATCAAAAGATTATTGAAACTTGAAAATTAATAGAATAACTCATGCTAATATGCTTGAGGTCTTATTTTCCAGGATTGGCCAAACATTATTACTTTCTAGAAATTCTTCTTTCCAGTAAGCAATTCTTCTTATATTTAGTGTTCTTCTGTCTGTTTGAAACCAGATACATATACATGGCAATTCAAATATCACTGTGAGACTTCAAAACAAACTGTTTTATCATTTTTGTGTTAGAAAAATGACAGTACTTTAAGGTGTAGTCCTCCATACAGTTCAAGGGAATAAAGTGTATTTTGTGAGAGCAAGGGAGCTCAAGACCAGTTTTCTTGTCAGTGATGTTCCTCCTGTGAATTAACCTGAATCTTAAATTCTTCATTTTTAAATCAAACATTTATTTGCCATCTTAGTCATCTTTGTTCCCACTTGTAAAACTCCAGCTGTCTCTTCTGTTCTTGTCTTGAGGGACAGGTTTGTACTGCCTTTTGAAAAAGCCAATCTGAAATACATAATTTTGGAATCTGTTGTCAGCAAATCTTCGTTATCACATCCAAACCATAAAAGATGAACTAAAATAAAATGCATATGTATGGAGTTTATGAGAGATGGTATTTGCCACTGCTTTGTCATACCAAATAATCAAATGTTACTCATTAATCAAAAAAGTGGGTTTGCTTTTTCTTTTACTTTCTGGGAGGCTAATACTCTCCTGCAAGGAGTAAGGACATGTGGGCTGGTGAACTATTAACAGAATCCAGTATTTTTTTTAAATGTGAAATGATAATAAACCTTTCCTGTTAAACTTCTTTCATTTCTACACTTCCCTGGGAAAAATGATGGATGGAGCAAGTCTGTATGTTTGTGAAGAAGTTAACAATCTCTTAATTGCTTGTCAGAGAAGCCACATCTTTTAGTTTTTTACTTACATACAGTATTTTTTTTAGCATTTGTGTTGCCATTTAAAATCTGAAACACTTTATTCTGGCATGAAACTGTTGTAGACTATGAGTCATTGTGTCATTAAACATGGAGCACCATCTCACAAAAATGATCCACTTGATATCATTAAATTATGTAAATTATTTGTAAACGACATGCCATATAAAACACGGGAAGGGGTTTGTGGCATTGTATAAAGAAGATGTAGAGCACACAGAAGATAAAATGAAGGAAAACAGACAAGTGTTTGAAAAAAAGGCAAGTTACAGGAAGAACTGTGTTTCTATAGAAAGGACAGATCATAAAAAAAAATATTATTTATCCTTTAACCTGCATTAGCAGATCCAAAGATCCACAACTGTGTGAATTCCTGACTTGAGAATAACTATGAAATACTGAAAAACCTACCTTCCATAATACAAATGAAAGAAGCAAAAACAAGGTAACACCAACTATTAAGCCTATTCCGATAATCAGCACAGTAACACGGTATTTTGGCTTTTGGTGGTGCACTCCTTCCAAATAGACCTGGAAAGCAGAAAGTAAGTAAGTTTAGTTCTAATTGATTTTTTTTTCCCCCTAAAAGATACTAATACAACAAACTAGGAAAATCAATTAATTATTAAGTAATTAACACTATAGTCACTGTCTGTGTATAGATATGTATAGAACTCAACAATTTTAATTGCCGTTCATTTTTCTACTTTTAACAAGTTTATCAAAAATTCATTGAGAGAATTCTTACATAGGCAACTTGCTTGTCCTTGTGTAGTTCAATAACTTTTTCACTTTTTTCTGGTGAGGCCGTTGCTCTCACTTCAAACTTCAATGCTGATGCATCATCCTGATTAAAAAAAAAAAATACAGCCTATCTTTTAAAAAATAACTTCAACACATTAATTTCTACCCAGCAAAAATGGTAACACAGCTGCTCACAGAAACAGAATCTCACACAAACACACAAAGTGCCTTTTTCTGATCACAAAACAAATTAGTACCAAAAGCTGGAATGAAGCCCAGTTGGATTTTACTTAAGTCCCTGTGCTTTTCTTAGAAAAGTACAATTATGAGTTGAAATTAAAACCCAATCCTCCATAACCCAGCCAGACTAGGCAAAGCAACACATACTGTAAAACAAAGTCATAATCTAAAATCCATATTTTTTCAGTGGTTTTAATTTTTCATATACCACCTTGAGATTTAGCACTGAAAACATAAGACAGCTTAACATCTGAAGATTTAGATTTAATCATACTGTTTGCAAAAATAAGATCTAGAATTTATACGCAGAGAATACTGCAAACATGCCTTGAAATACTCCCCCCAAGTATGAAAAATTAATGTGTTACCATTTCTAAAAGTGAAGGAGTAGCCTCCAGATGCAACTGAACAGTTGCTTCTTTTCCACTTTCCATGTTTCCAAGCTTGCAATATATTTGTAAGCAAAGGCTGTCATTTTTCATGCAGTACTGTAGAAGGGAGGGAAAGATTAAAACCTAAAGTTTATCAACTTTAACATCTCAGTACTAAAGACACTCAGGAATCGAGTAAAACAAAAAGATCCATGTTTGTTCTTGAAAAGTCAGGGTGTAACTCTAGGTTGGCATCCATCACTGTCAATCCATAGATGCTAAAGGAACATTACAAGGGACCAACCTAATTGTTTTAGAAGACAACAGGTCATTTTCCTTAAAAATTCGATTTTTTTTAGACAGAAAATAACATTGTCATAGTCTGGCTGTATGGGATTTTTTTATACTGTTATTTTAAATTAGCTTTTATCAGGAATGATAAATGACAATGACTATATGATATCCAGTTAAACAGCATAATTGATTGATTCTTACACCTGAACACAGACAGCTAGCACCACTTCACTCAGCTTTGGAGAAGACAAAAAAGCAAGCCTGATTATATCCTTTAATGCCTAAGTTCTGATTTGATATTCTAGTGCAGGCTGTCTCTCAATCATTGGTTGATGTTTCCTGTAACATACTTAAACATCCCAAATTAACATGTTTAAAAATGTTTGGCTTCTTTGGAGATGAAAGTATTAAACAAAATTGAACTCTATCAAACACAAGTTGCAGCACACAGATTTCTATGAGAACAAACCCTCAAAAATGTAACACTAGAATAGCAATTCTGGTCTGGACTACATAGTCCAGTATCTGAACTCTAGCAGGGTTTGTAACAGGTACAGAGGGATAAGCTTGAACAGGCCAGGCATGTATGATATTCTCCCAGTCTCCCAAATATTTTTATAAGAAATCCCCAGCCAAAAGTGATTTCTATGTATTTTTAAATTCTTAATGACTTCCAGTCCCATTAATTTGTACAGTGTCCCTTGGAATTCACTTATTTATAGCATTCACAACACCCTTCGGTAAGAAGTTTCACCATGAGTAATAGTTTTGGGTTTTTTAACCTGTCTCCTATGAGTTACATTTGATGGCACTTTTTTGATGTGGAAAAGACAGTGACTATTTGATCTGCATACTTCACGTGATTAAAATTAAGACTGTTTTTCCCACATGCATCACGTTTGATTTGTTACTGAATTTCATCTGCCATTCTGTTTGCCCACTCATTCAGTTAGGTAACCCTTTGGCAGTTCTTCATAGGTGACTGTCATCCACACTGACTTCAGAGACATGTCATTAATCAACTTTCCCATCTTGGTTCTCAACTCTTTCACTGAAGTCACTTAAGACTATGCTGAACTTAGCCCAGTTCCCACCACAAATCCTTGGATGGCTGCTCTGGTGACCTCATTATGTAAGATACACCACTGTCTTAAGGCTCCTTCAGAGAGTCATTTATTTCTCACTGATGCCAAAAGACAGACCTTACCATTTGTCTCTTAGCAGGTTTTGAAAAGAAAGTGACAACATCCTTTAATATGTTTTCATTTTTTTCTGCTGCACTACAGTTTCTTGGATATTTATTATAGAAGCACTGTCCAGCTGTTGCCTGGAAATAAGAATAACATCACTGTTAGAATTTAAACATCAGATAATAATCAGAATATAGATTTCTGAAAGGGAAGAAGCTCAAAAGGAATGCAAGTTTTACTTTCAGAATTCTAAAACACATGGGGCTGAAGATCAACCTATTCTTGTTCACTCCGCTTTGCCATAGCTAACAAACTGAACACATACTCGGTACTAGTTTTGCTATGCTCTGCATACAGAATTCATATAGCTAATAAAAAGACATTAAATAACCTGTGCTTACCTTGATATCCAATGTGTTGAATAATTTGAAGTCATTGGGTGGAAAAGCATTAGGTATCGTTATCTCTAAGTTTGTATTTGGAGCCATGCTTGGTCCTACATTGATAACCTTGTGGGGAAGAATGTTATACATTTAAAACTTTACTTCACGGTGGCTATTCAAGTAAGAAAAATATACATATAAATACATAAAACTTCACAGAATTGGGCAGCACCTTGATTTGTTATGCTGTCATGAAAGTGGATTCTGCAAGGAGTTGTAACATTCTGCTTAATTCATTCTGTAGGTTTACTGAACCCTTCACTTCTCTGAATCCAATGAGTACGCAGTGCTAATCTGCGATGACTACCCTGAGGTCATACAGACTGCCTTCTGGGAGAATATGCAAAAGGAACCAGGAGAGATTAGTGTCTAACTCCTGCTTTTAATCCATTGGAGACAAATCTGATACCTATTAGATCCTCTTATATGGAGCTCCTAGTTCCTTTTGCTTAGGGTAAGATAATTCCTTTTGCAGTGTTTTTTAATGGAAGAAGTGACAAGTCAGAACTGCTCTACCACTTTCAATCCTGCTTGTGCTAAGTACTTTTTCTCTAACCATTCAGTAGAAGAGCCCAAACACAGTGTTCAGAGAGGGATTAACAGCCACTTCCCATCACTAATGCACAAAAGTTGCTCACCATGCCAGTGTACTCTTAAAAAGTTCCCTTACTGACTGTGCAGGATGTCATTAGATACACTGGAAACCTAAGCATTAACCTTCAAAACAAGGATAATAGGGTTTACAAAGAAAAACTCTTACATGGAAAGTGAAGTTGATATTCTCCTTCATACACATAACTGGTGAATCTTTTTCATATGTTCCATAAACAAACGAAGCTGGTGATACAAATCTACAATGGTTTAGAAGTTGTTAATTAATAGAATTGCTGTATATCATTAGCATAACTTTCTGCTCCATGCTATCTCCAGTACAACTGGTTCTAAGAAAATAACCAAATTTGCATTTAAGTTAAATCTAGGAACACTGAGTACCTCTATCTTTGTACTCTGTCCTCTTAAAAAGGCAGATGAATTAGAAAAGGCCATAAATCCTCACCCAAAACTATGCTCCATGAATGCCTCACAACAAGCCCAGAACATGGTTCGTGTTAAGCAAGGAATCTGAGGATCTGCTGTGCTTTTATTAAAGACCTCACTTTATAAAAAAATAATAGTCTGTTAAGAGACTGGTCTCATCTCACAGTAATGAAACCAAAATCTTAGAAATGTATGGGTCTGAGCCAAGACAGCTGTGCCATCTCATTCCCAGGATTCTTCAGCTACATCATGCTTCTGCTTAAAAGCTTTGGGAATTTAGAATAGTAACAAGACAACAGTTCTACCGGTGTGCAGGTATAGCAATAGCTGACTTACCCATGGGCATTTAACTCAGTCTCATATTTGAGAGGTACAGCTAAAGTCAGTACGTTATCCAGCAGCATGTTCCCATCTTCATTTTTACTATAAAAACAAAACGAGAGAAAAATGAGTATGGAATACATCATCATATGCTATGCATATTTCTATAAACAAGTATTAAAGAGACTTTTCAACTTATTAAAAATATTTCAATAGTAACAACATGTCAGGCAGTAAAAAAAAAGAACATTTTATACAGGCAGAAACCTGCTCGTTATTTAAATATCTATTCTCTGGGGTTTTTTTTGTAATTTCCCTGCCTTTACAGATTTGCAACTGATCCGCTTTCTTTCAACTGTGCTTTGCTAAGTCTTTCCACTGTTCCCTATTCTGTTTTCCAAAGCTAGTAATATTTTTCACCGAGCAATTTTTATTAGACTTTACCAGGTAGCATTAATGATGATGTTGAGGTCATCTTCTGCTCTGGTGAACGAGCTTGCATCCAAGAGGAAACTGAAATCCAGCTGCAGAACAAATAAAATGTTATTTATAGCAAATGATAGTGTGTCTTAACACAGTTTAAATAAAAATATTTTATTAAACTCATTTAGAATTTCCTGCTCTAAAAAAATTCCTAAGAAAATATTTGCTTTTTGTGTTTTCTGCTCCCTTTCTATTGACCTAACACATTTGTTCATAGCCTTAGTCAGTTCACTTGTCTAGGAAGCCAAGCACTGCAAGCTAATGCATAACACAACATTGTCCCTTAATGAATTATTCCAGAGAGTGTTTAAGCAACTAATTTTAAAAGCAGCAGAGAGATTCAGATACCAACATGATAAAAGACATTAGCTGGGAATGGAGAGATTCTGAAAAGCAAGGGGTTTTTCTCCCTGAAAATCCTTATAACATATTTAGGGCGTTTTTAAAGCTAGAAACTTCATACATAGCTTACCTTTGATTTTTGATCTACATATAAATAACCAACACTGCACTCAAGTTTCACGGCATGAATTTCTTTATCTAATACTTCACAATGTATCTGTTTTTCTTCCTAAAATAAAGAACAAATTATTAATGATTAAAATAAAAGTGCTTTTTGCAAACATTTTAAATTATATGCACACATCAAAATTGGGTGGCTTACATTTCCCTAGACTGTTTGATATTTCACGGATGCAAATATAGAGAACAGTCGTATTATTCATGACTACTTTAACATAACCTTATATCAGTCACTGTATCCTGTTACTTCATCTTCTGTTTGCCTGTACTGAAGCTAAGGTGCATGCATCAGAGCCAGACCCACTCAAGTTTAAAGCCAACCTCTGAAAGGTGTCAGGGGGATTCTACACTGAGAGCGGTTATTTTAAAAAGGCAGAAAGGGAGACCAGTTATATTTGTGACTTCTTTGTAAGACTATGTATCTCGTAAAAAGAGCAGGTTCAGTGAGATCTTTGTGATCACTGAGAACATGACTGTCAGACAAAAAGTAGCAGTAACATCCTGAAATACATTTAGAAACTTTTTTTTTTTTTAATTTTAGCTGTCACCATCACATCCTGTTACTGAAATTATTTAAGTCACCTATATTAATTAAACTGCACATGATTTAGGTAGCTAGAAGTCTTAGAACTTTAGAACCGGAATTTTGTCCGCTTTTTTTTTAGGGGTGGTGGTGGTGTTGGTTGTCAGTATCCAAAGAAACTCAACAATTCATTAACATAATTTGAAAAATATCTGGCTGAACACCAAAAATACCAAAGGATTAGTGTTTCACAGATTTTTTTTTTTTTTTGTTCTTACCGATTCTAAAACTCGGATGAAATAAAGACCTTTAGGGATCTGAATGTGGAGGACAGTTTCATATGCATCATCTCCACCATTCTTCAGAGAAACGTTCAACAATAAAGTCTTCATACTTCCAACAGCAAGATACGTTTTCTTATCATGAGGCCTATAAAAATAATTATCATCAGTGAAAAGTAATTCTATATACAGCTTGTATGCCAAAATTTTCCTTCATTGCCCTTTTAGTTAATTTCATTTGGTTCTGACAAAGCTCAGCTGGAGATCATTAGGAAGGTTTTTACTCAGTTCTGTAACTGAAGGTACTACACAAGTTATATGATGGTCAACTCCAGTATTGTACTTAAGGCCTGAGGTTGTTAATGAGAGAGAAAGAGAATGGTTATCAGACCCGTTGTGCTTCTGGCTTTTACAAGATAGGTCCTTTGCTTTACAGATGAGAACAGCAGTGTGCTATCGCTACAGTATTTTCAGATATTATTTCAAAATTCACTCTTTGTACTCTAAGTATAGGAGTGAATATGAAACAGGTCACAAAGAGGGCAAGCGAACATGCCTATCATGATCTACGTAATGTTCTATAATCATGTTACAAGTACAGACAACCTATGGGGGGCTAAAAGTAAACTTCAGCTTGACATTAAAGTTTAATTAAGACTTGTGGAAAGGCTGCCTAGAAATAGACATTTATCAGATATTCTGGCTCGAAACCAAAGCATTAGTCACTGAACACCTTGGGGAAAGAAGCTGGCACTTAGAAAAGCAACAGAAGGTAAAAGCACTGCATAAGCAGATAGGTTCCAAAACAAAAGCGTATTAAAGAAAAACACAATGTTAACATTTCAGTGGGTTGATTAGGTTTAGGTTAAATTTTAAAGTTGTTTTACTAGTTATATGCTTACTGTTCAGTCCTCTTATATGCATTAAAGCCAAGCTCATTAACAAGATGCTGTCACAAAGATGCCTCCCAGCTTAGCACACAAGTACACAAAAGCACCAGGTGCACATCTGGGACTACAACAAAGCTGAACTAGAGCTTTTCCCTGGTAATCATATTTCATTCTTCATTAAAAAATGCAGGACGCGGACTAGAAATACACAGAGCAGGCCAAAATCTAAGCAATTTAAACAAAACATGATAGTGTATACATGCAAACTCGTAACTCAGTAAGTAAAGCATTACATGGACATCCCTATTTCGTTTCATTCTTTTAAGACTAAAAGTGTTTGCTTTGCTGTTCAAGGATAATGAATGCATTCTGTCTAGACAACATAAATTAACGCTTCACAGCTAACTAGTTTTTAATCGAGATTCTAGGGGCACAATGTAATTTAAGGTGATACTTCACACCTTAGCAAGATATTTAGCCTATTTATTTACACTGAAAATCTGTTACTGGTACCTAATGCCAAGCAGGTATGTTGTAATCTGTTTTCCTTTCTTAGGGTTTTGAAGTACTTACAAAACTGTATTGCTGAATGGAAATGCTGCATGATCTTTATTTCCAAAAAGTTTATGATCAAATAAAATAACTTTCAAGCCTAAGCAAATGAAAGGTCTTAAGACTCATGCTACAGGCCATGTGTTAAAGTAGGCAGAAAGATACTAATCTTATTCTGTAATCTATGAAAGAGCTTATGCTCAGGACCACACAGGTGTGGTTTATCAGCATTATGTGACTGTCATCATCTTTTGGTGTCATTTTAGGTTGTTCAAACTAGCATTTCGATTAAGGTAGAATCAACTTTAAAAGTGATAAAATACACATGAAAATCTAGGTTACACACAAAATACCTATCTAGCTGAGATTCACAACAGGTACAATTTCTCTTTTTCAACACAACCCATATTTCTTCGTTTGAAGTATAATATTCAAGAGAGAAAAGGGTAGTGATGATAAAATACAACTGAAAATCAAATAGTTAAAATCCATTCTGAATAGAAACAAGGTACATGACTTAAAACTTTCCAAAGATGCTGCTAAATAGAAGTACATCTCACAAAAGTATTGCTTGGTGTAATACTCATTCTGTGAGACAATAATAGTTGTATTTAAATACTTTTAAAATTCATTAATTATCCTGCATAGCAACGGATTTAAATATGATACCTAATGGGAAAAAATGAAACACATTAAAAAGGTATATAAAAAAAAAATTAGGGACATGAATGAAAAAAAAATAAATCAGAAAACAAGATTAATTTTGGAAAATGCAAGCTAGTTCCATGTAGAGAAAAGAAGTCTAAACCTCACATAATACTCAACCATCTGGTGTCTCAATCGGCAGTATAAAACTGAAGATGTAATAGTCTTAAGTAAATGAGGAAAAGTAGCCACTTATTTTATAATTGAAACAATCAATATAACAATGTCTTAGTACAAACCCAAAGTATCTTCTTTGTACAGTGCAAGTACAGTATCTCCATAAAAGCAGCAGAAAGAACTGATAGCTTGTCAATATAACAGCAGTTATGATGTCTACATATTGAGCATGCATTGTGCACTGTATCTTAGCCAGGTTACTCGTGTAGAATACAAATTTACCTTTCTGTAAGTTTGCCTATAAATATATCTTCTATAAAGATCTATTTTATGAGCTGTAAAGTCTTCTAGTTATGCAAGAACAGTTCTTCAATTATATACATTTCTGTTACATTTCCTGGAAGATTTAAGATTTTAAAATATTCTTGAACTAAACACAGCTTCACTCCTCATATTTTCTCGGGGAATCCATAGTCTACTTTTGCAAATTAATGTTCTTTACGTACATAAGAATAAGGAATAATTTAGATAAAATCTTACTGAACCTCTTTTGAAAAACTGAAAGCCATATTATACTTACTTTGGAAAAACAACTTTTCCAGAAATGCTCAAGTCAGCAGAACAATTTTCTTCGGAGCAAAATCTTGCAAAAACAAACTATAAAAGACAAATTTTAAAGAAGCACTTTAGGGTATTATGCATTATAGTGACTAAAAGTATTTCCAAAGAAAGAAACCTATCATGTTGTTATCTGGAATTGGCTAATAGCTCTTGCTCCTAAAACCAATTCAATCAGGCTATGATTTGCCATTTTCCAAACACATTGCGTGCACCCAGAACAACAGAGAGGCGTTCCAAACAGTCTCTCACAGTTAGACCAGTGGGTGTATGCTCAGCTGATTTTTTAAAAAGTAGTACCATAAAAAGGGCAGTGTTTTAAGGGGTCCAGAAACAAGGTCTCTGCAGTCTCTCCTATGATACAGCATATTAACTTTTGCCATAGAGTTTCATTACACAAACTTTACTTATCATACTGTTGGTAAGGTTTGATGAGACCAGAGACACCGTGAGTTGCATGTGTCCGTGCCTTGGTTATCAGTATGCTATAGAGCATGTTTATGTTACTATATTCAACAACACCCTTTTTCTCTCTAACTGCAGATTCTAAAACAAAATTTTGAATGAAGATGAAAAGGAAAAGCATGCCATTTAAAAGGAGCTTTTATTTATCTCAGAGAGTCTGGTAGTCAGCTGTACCTGAATTACATGAAGCTTACTGTTTGTGAAAAGTAATAGTAAGTTTATGACCATTTAATAGTTAAAAATTCAGAGCATCCTGACTTTTGCTTAAGACAGAGTAAAAGTCTAATCACTCTTAAAAAGGGGTTTTTTTTGAAAAAAGTTAATTTCATATTCTTTTAAAGATACAGAATACACTTTTTCCCCCCCACAGACTTTGTGTTTGAAAATCTGCAACGCCTTTGTAGAACTTATATTTCGGCAACATCGTTGAAACACTCCAAGATTAATACCAACACAGAATTAATTATAAAGGACAATTTTATACTGTAAAGTGACTCATCCTGTGTAGCTGAAAAAGAATATTTTAAAGGGTGAATTTCATACCTGCGTGTTCTGAGGTATATAATATTATATATTCTTGCAAGTTCTCTGCAGGTACATTTTTTTTTTTAAAAAAAATCAAAATACAGATTGTATATCTGCTCTGCAAAGGTTTGTTTTAGCAAAATATTAGGCATTTTTTTTAGAATGTTGGTTTATTAATTAGTATCAAGGAACTAGTTACTGGTCTGAAAAATGCATTCCTTTGCATACTATGGATGTGTGAAGCCTTTTTTAACTGAAGATCAAAATGTGAATATTTACTTACTGCATTTGAAAAAAGAGAACTCATACACTAACCTTGCTTGTTATAACATCTTTTTCTTTTCTCTGTTGAAGAACGGGTTGAAGTGGTGAAAATTCTTGAGCATTTCTTTTCTGTAGAATATGATGCCCCAGATGATAACTTGCTTCAACATGTACAGGAGTCAAGATATCCCTTACATCTTTCTATGAAAATTGGAAACCTAATGAGTTAATCATATAAAACAAGACATGTATGCTTATGTTTTAAAGATTGTAAGGTTCCCTAGAACCAACTTAAACAGGAACATTTATTTTTGACATGGAAAATAATTTCATAAGCCATATGGCTCATTTGCTTTTCCACACATCTTTGTTGATGATAAAGGTAATCAGAAACACAGGTAAGCATAACTCATTCAATGACAGCATCAGGCATTTCAGAATGGAAGATTCTTATATTAAAATAAGTCTTATTGAATAGTGAATCTCTTTCTATCAATACTACTGCCTTACACACCTATGAAATGCTGTACTGCCCAAACAGAAAAATAGGCAAAGGTTGGCTAAAATGAAGGAAGTTAACCAGTGGGATAATGTCAGACAAAACCCATGGATATTTCCATATGAAAGCAAAAGTTCTCCCACGGTACCACTAAAGCAGGTCATGACTGCATTTTATTTTTTTCCCCTCTTTATTTCCTACTCTGTATTAAAAAGATTAAACTCCTCAATAAATGCCCATTTTGTACACGAACCCTTGACTGTGTAGGAATGTTGCATATCAGAGCCCAAACTACCTACTTGTGGAAACTGAACAGCTTGAAGCACCGAGTACTAACAATAGCAAACCTGATTAAATTATTCCCTAAGTGTAGGAGATAGACAGACATTGATTGTCCCTCCACATGGCCACTACTTTAATTCTTATCTGCAAGCTTGCTTTGGCCAAATCACATATTATCTAATTCATAATAATTTTCCACAAGGTCTTCTCTGCATCTGCTTTATATTACTTCCATTATACTAATTAGCTATTAATTAGGCTTTACTCAAAATACATAAAATGTACATTGTCTCTTGCAAGGACTGTACTTGACAGACATTCACACTTACTTAACTTTAGAAGCTTCATCTAAGTACAGAAACCTCAGTGGGCGGAAGGAGATGCTTATAATGCTATTAATTAAGAATTAAAAAGAAAACTGAATTATATGGAGGAAAAAATACTAATGATAAACTATAGGAACTGATGAGCCAAATCATACCCTTCCTCCTACACAGATACCTGCTGATGCTGGTACAGCAATCTGTACAAGGTCGGCTGTCAGTCAGATCTCTCTTAGCTTACTTTTAAAACTCTTAGTGGCAATTTGCCATTGCTCCTGTAAGTAATGTTCACTTAGGTGCAACTACCAGTTAAGATGCATCTGGGCAATTTTCCAGTAGATAACAAGCTTTCCTTTCTACCCCAAATCTCTGTCGTGGAGAATTGGCCTCTAATGGTCTCATAAGCAAAAAATTTGCAAAAGGAAGGAAGAGACTTTTTCCCTGAACGTTTTTTTGTAGCTGTAGAAAATCAGGTCTATTTCCCAGACTCTGTGCAAGACCAGCTGTACCAAACATCCTAATAGATGTTTCTTTCAAAAGGTCACAGAATTGCTACCTTAAGAATTTTAAAGAAAATGTAAAGATAAGGCTAGGCAAACTAGTCTATTATTTTATTACCCTTGTTTCCCCTAACGTTTAAATACTCCCTGTCCTTAGTATTTCTTTAAGGAATTATCTTACCCTAAGCAAAAGGAACTAGGAGCTCCATATAAGAGGATCTAATAGGTATCAGATTTGTCTCCAATGGATTAAAAGCAGGAGTTAGACACTAATCTCTCCTGGTTCCTTTTGCATATTCTCCCAGAAGGCAGTCTGTATGACCTCAGGGTAGTCATCGCAGATTAGCACTGCGTACTCATTGGATTCAGAGAAGTGAAGGGTTCAGTAAACCTACAGAATGAATTAAGCAGAATGTTACAACTCCTTGCAGAATCCACTTTCATGACAGCATAACAAATCAAGGTGCTGCCCAATTCTGTGAAGTTTTATGTATTTATATGTATATTTTTCTTACTTGAATAGCCACCGTGAAGTAAAGTTTTAAATGTATAACATTCTTCCCCACAAGGTTATCAATGTAGGACCAAGCATGGCTCCAAATACAAACTTAGAGATAACGATACCTAATGCTTTTCCACCCAATGACTTCAAATTATTCAACACATTGGATATCAAGGTAAGCACAGGTTATTTAATGTCTTTTTATTAGCTATATGAATTCTGTATGCAGAGCATAGCAAAACTAGTACCGAGTATGTGTTCAGTTTGTTAGCTATGGCAAAGCGGAGTGAACAAGAATAGGTTGATCTTCAGCCCCATGTGTTTTAGAATTCTGAAAGTAAAACTTGCATTCCTTTTGAGCTTCTTCCCTTTCAGAAATCTATATTCTGATTATTATCTGATGTTTAAATTCTAACAGTGATGTTATTCTTATTTCCAGGCAACAGCTGGACAGTGCTTCTATAATAAATATCCAAGAAACTGTAGTGCAGCAGAAAAAAATGAAAACATATTAAAGGATGTTGTCACTTTCTTTTCAAAACCTGCTAAGAGACAAATGGTAAGGTCTGTCTTTTGGCATCAGTGAGAAATAAATGACTCTCTGAAGGAGCCTTAAGACAGTGGTGTATCTTACATAATGAGGTCACCAGAGCAGCCATCCAAGGATTTGTGGTGGGAACTGGGCTAAGTTCAGCATAGTCTTAAGTGACTTCAGTGAAAGAGTTGAGAACCAAGATGGGA